CCCCCCCCCCCCCCCCCCAAATCCTTTGAAGCGCGCTCCCCGCCTTCTGAAAACGAAGCTCCTGCACGGTTTAGGGTTTAGGGTTTAGGGGTTTAGGGTTTAGGGTTTACCTAACCCCCCAGGTAACTACTCTAGGGTACCAGAGCCCCTGGCGCCTTACAAACTAGGGACCTGGAGGGTACAAGTAAGGGCGTGCTTCCCGTTTCTGGCCCGATTTTAGGACATTCCGCACGAAACAACCACTGAACCTTCAAGTGCAAGCTCACCTCATCTCAATCTTCTCTCAGTTGGCCCAACTCTGAAGCTGAGACAAACACGTGCATGGTACATGCTAGATTTGGGGTTTGTTAGCTATTTCAAGCGAGGCGAAACAAACAACCAGGGCTCCACAATGGGGCTGAAATAATTTTGCTTGGGGTAATTATTCGGAGAGTAATCTAAAAATCGGCTTGTTCTGAACATGGAGTTTAGGGTTTAGGGTCGTATGGTTCTGTGCTCATGTTTTCGCCGGTTTTTCCATGAGCCGCTCCGTGCCACTTGCAGCTTTTGCGCCTTTGGAGGCTCGGAGTCAGTCAGCAGCGAAACCAGACCCACTTTAGGGTTGAGCTCGGTAGGGCATGAAGGGTTTAAGACCTGGGTTTAGGGTTCTTTCGGGTTTAGGCTTTCGGGCTGAAGTAAAGGCTGGACAGTATGAGGATCCTGCCCTGAACTGCACTCTAGTCTGGTTTTCCCTGTCTTCTGCATGGGAAACAAGGGCAGGGTTTTCACTGAGAGCAACACTCCCCTCACCTCACCCCCAAACCCTTGCGTCCGAGACCCTGTGCCGCGATAGAACCTCTGACAGAACAAGCCTTCCGAGGTGCTTTCCTGCAGAGGTGCTTTCAGCTTCGCTGCTGAGATCGGGGCCGCTCGATGAACCGTTTTCTTGCCAACACCACAGCCTAAGATTCTGTGGGACCTGCCTTATTATCGATGCATGCTCCTTTCTGTAAGGGTCTGGTCACATGTGCCCCGTCGCTTACTTCACCAGACGCCACATCTCTTGTGCGGTCTTGTCGATCATGCATCCCATGTATTGGCTCATGGCTCGAAAGAAGTCTTGGCACGCAACATCTTTTTGGGCAGGTTTCGCCGGCCCTCGTAGAGCGTGCAGCATGCCATCCGCAATGAAGTCCGCCTCAGTGTTCCTTGCTTTGCTTCTTGCTCCAGGCGCAGCTATCACCACCCGAACGGATGGTGGGAACGGTGGGAACCCTATCCGCAAGGTGATCACCATGATGGAGAAAATGTCTGAGAAGATCGACTCTGAAGCGGAGAAAGAGTCCGATCTCTACGACAAGTTCGACTGCTACTGCAAGGGCACCATCAAGGAGCTGGAAGAGAACATCATGCAGGCGGAGACCAACCCTATTTCTCCGGCCGACATCGAGAAGAAGGAGGCTGAGATTGTCGCACTGGAGCAGGATGTCCAGAAACTCAAGGACGATCGCATCGCGGAGGAGGAGTCGCTTAAGGCTGCCACCTCGCAGCGTGGAAAGGAGCACGAACATTATGTGGATGAATTGACTGAGGATGCTTGGCTTCAGTGCTTAATACGGTTCACCGAGAGGGTCGTCGTAACCAACATACTATGTTTCGAGGTCCCTGCACCCTCTCTCGAGGGTGTTTGGGAGGCCCCCTTCGAGTTTTACATTGGGCGTGCATTGTTTCATTCTGAAAAACCACAGGCATCCAAAGCGTGAAACCGTTTACAAGAAGGAAGCTCAAATTCACTCTTCCGTCAGAAGAGGTTTCTGTAGACTGGGGAGCTCCAAAAACTACAGGGCCTATGAGCCTCGACACAAGCCCAAAGCCCCAAACAAAGACAAATGTGCGTTTTTTCGAACGCTTACGACCGAAATCGCAGAGGTCTGAGGCACTACCGAAACAGGCGAAGACAAACAACCAGCAAACAGTCATCAACAGAGTCCCATTGATGTAGAAACCCTGTGAAGCCTACACTTACCCGCCCCCAGAAAAAGAACCTCAAGGTTTTGCTGTGGCTTGCGATGCGGGAGCCAAAA